AGGCTTGGGGCCACAGTGCCAGGCTCAAAAGAGGCAAGGCTAAAGGAGGCCCATGACAACAGAGGATGAGGGTGGGTACAGGACAGAGCACAAGGTCTTTGCACTTGCTGGTCCATCCACCTGAGGAACTCCTCCTCAGAGAGGTCACTCAGGCCCTCCCCTAGCAAAACAGGTCTTGGGTAGCCTAGACCCCACCACTCACTACAACAGGAAATACAGGCGTGGCATGACAGTGAATTCAAGACAAGGCCCACAGCCATGCGCACACTCAACAGTTAATGAATGAATGCAAGAGCATAGGCAAAGACCACACCAACAGAAGGGGTATCTTCCTCACACCTCTGCAGCCCGGAAATACTGGGGTGGGTTTGTATGTGTTACAATGAAAGTCATGTAAAAGGGATGTGATAAGGAGATCCAACTCCAGGCAATGGCATTTAGAGCCCGCTGCAGTGTGAATAGGAAGAGGATTAGTATGAAGGTATAAAGTAGTGGTTCTCAACCTTCCTACTGCCACAACCCTTTAATACAGTTCATGTTGTGGTGACCCCCAATTTCATTGTTACAAATTGAACATAATTAAAGCATAGCGATTAATCACAAAAACAATATGTAATTATATATGTGTTTTCCAATGGTCTTAGGCGACCCCTGTGAAAGGGTCGTTTGGCCCCTAAAGGGGTCACGACCCACAGGTTGAGAACCCCTGGTATAAAGGGTGTGTCAGTAGGTAAAAAAAAAAAAAAAAGATGCCCAGTGGGGAGGGCCCAAGGAGACCCAAGGGCTGGTCACACAGACCTTATGCAGCACACCTGAGGGGTGCACTGGCCTGGTTGTTATGACTCAGATTCGTTCAATGTGCTCTAGGATGAGTTGAGTGCCCATGTGGTGTCAAATCTATCTTTAACCTATTTTTGTATGGCCCTCCGACTAAGAACACTTTTAGATTTGTAAACAGCTGTTAAAAAAAAAAAGCAGCAGCAGTGGATAGAGACAATCTGGCCAACAAAGCATAAAATATTTATCTGGCCCTAACCGGTTTGGCTCAGTGGATAGAGCGTCGGCCTGTGGATTCAAGGGTCCCAGGTTTGATTCCGGTCAAGGGCATGTACCTTGGTTGCGGGCACATCCCCAGTAGGGGGTGTGCAGGAGGCAGCTGATGGGTGTTTCTCTCTCATCAATGTTTCTAACTCTCTATCCCTCTCCCTTCCTCTCTGTAAAAAATCAATAAAATATATTTATAAAAAAAAATTTATCTGGCTCTTTATAGAAAAAGTTTGCCAATCTCTGTTCTGGGATACATAAAAGCCAAGGGGAGGGGAAGGGCTTGAATTATCAATAGACAACTTTTCTACCGCCTGAATTATTATTTTTTTTACTATACCCACAAATGTTTTTATTAAAGCATAATATGCAGATTTAAAAAAATATTTTTATTGATTTCAGAAAGGAAGGGAGAGAGATGGAAACATCAATGATGAGAGATAATCATTGGCTGCCTCCTGCACGCCCACACTGGGATGGAGCCCCAACCTGGACACGTGCCCTTGACCGGAATTGAACCTGGGACCTTTCAGTCCACAGGCCGATGGTCTATCCATTGAGTCAAACCGGCTAGGGCTATATGCAGATTTTAATGTATTCACAATTAACTTGTTTTAAATTTCTTTGTATTTCTTTGTTAATCCTGGGTGTGAAGTATGAGCATCTTCTACTTTCTTACATTTTTCTGTGATGAACCCAACAAAATTTTTTTAAAATATATTTTTTATTGATTTCAGAGAGGAAGGGAGAGGGAGAGAGAGAGACAGAAACATCAATGAGAGAGAATCATTGATCGGCTGCCTCCTAAATGCCTCATACTGGGGACCCAGCCGCAACCCTGGCATGTGCCCTGACCCGAATCGAACTATGACCTCCTGCTTAATGGGTCGACTGCTCAACCACTAGTGACACTGGCCAGGCACGAATTTTAAAATGTTACTTAAAACGTTTGAAAAACTTAAGAATACATATTCCTGGGACATCCTACGAGTGAAGAGCACCAACGAGGAACCACCACAAAGAACATCTTTTAAATTCCTTCGGTGTTCGGGTTTGGACCCCAGCTCTGTTCTGGGTGGCCCCGCGGGTGAGGTCGCAGCCTCTCTCGGGCCTCAGTTTTTCCACCTGTAAAACAGAAGCGTGGCCGAGGGCTAGGGGTTCAGGCTAACCTAACCTCAAGTTAACCTACTGTGAAAAGGAAATAATTAACAGGACCGACTTCTGGGCTGTTAGGAGGAGAAATTAAAGTAATTAGTAATCGCTCGACAAATTTCAGCAGTTATCGTTACCACGGACGCTAGGTGTACAGCCAGACTCCGCCTCTCCTCGCACCGCAGGTAGACTGAGGCCTGACAGCCTCCCCAGCGCCCCGCCCCCGCCGCGGCGCTCCGGAGGCCCCGACCGACACCACGGCGCAGACGGACACTGACCCGACAGTCCCCGGCGCGGGAGGTTCCGTTTGTAGTCGATGGGGCCGTAGCCCCCGGGCGGGGGCATGTCCTGCTTCACCTTCGAGGCCGCCATGGTCGCAGTGCTTTGTACTTCCGGTCGCGGGAGGAAGTGACGTAGGCGGCGATCGCCGCCATGATGAATGTGGCGGAAGCTGTCGCGCAGGGACCGGGTGGGGCCGTCCTACTGCGCGGGAGAACTGGCTACGACGCCCGGCTGCAGCCGAGGAATCCGCATTTTTTCTCCCCGACGAGGCGTGGCTCAGCCGGTGTGGACGCCTGGAGCCTGTGGGGTCGCCCAGGTTCTTGCATCAAAGGACTTCCCTTTCACCTTCCCTCTGGGGCGATGCGCAGGGCACTCAAGCTCCGGAGGGAGATAGGTCACCGAGCTAAGCCCCCTTACCCGTTTTCCCCGCTCTGGGTCTGTCCTCCACATAGTCAAGGCTTGGTACAAGTAGTCGGGTGGGGACGGCGGCTGCTCAAATTTGGACTCGCAAGGAGCCACCCACCCCTGGCACAGATTCTGCTCCTTGGCGGTGGTCGGGAGCCCTTGGAAGTAGTAGCCTCTCATCAGGAACTGATTATGAGTCATAAAGCCCTAGGGCCTTGGGGGGTCCATCCCGAGGCGGGGTGACGCCCGCGGGGGGCCCCACCCCGAGGTAGGGTGACGCCCGCAATCACTTCACAAGGCAGAAATTGTTACCTGGGTAATAAAAGGCACCGCGGCGGCGGGAACCCGGGAGTGGGCACATGGGGGTGCGGGTGTGCAGGTGCCAAGCGCCATGGGTTAGGCCCAAGATCGGAGTCCGGCCGCCCCCCGACAGCAGCCGCCTCCTGCTCCCCGTGCGCCCCAGGCGCCACCATGTCGGGCGACAAACTCCTGAGCGATCTCGGCTATAAGCTGGGTCGCACGATAGGTGAGGGCAGTTACTCCAAGGTGAAGGTGGCCACGTCCAAGAAGTACAAGGGAACGGTGGCCATCAAGGTGGTGGACCGGCGGCGCGCACCGCCTGACTTCGTCAACAAGTTCCTGCCCCGCGAGCTGTCCATCCTTCGAGGCGTGCGGCACCCGCATATTGTGCACGTCTTCGAATTCATCGAGGTGTGCAACGGGAAGCTGTACATCGTGATGGAGGCAGCCGCCACGGATCTGCTCCAGGCCGTGCAGCGCAACGGGCGCATCCCCGGGGGGCAGGCCCGCGACCTCTTCGCACAAATCGCTGGCGCCGTGCGCTACCTGCACGACCACCACCTGGTGCACCGCGACCTCAAGTGCGAAAACGTGCTGCTGAGCCCTGACGAGCGCCGCGTCAAGCTCACCGACTTTGGCTTCGGCCGCCAGGCTCACGGCTACCCTGACCTGAGCACCACCTACTGCGGCTCAGCAGCCTACGCATCGCCGGAGGTTCTCCTGGGGATCCCCTATGACCCCAAGAAGTACGACGTGTGGAGCCTAGGCGTCGTGCTCTACGTCATGGTCACCGGGTGCATGCCCTTCGATGACTCAGACATCGCTGGCCTGCCCCGGCGCCAGAAGCGCGGCGTCCTCTACCCCGACGGCCTCGAGCTGTCGGAGCGCTGCAAGTCACTGATCACTGAATTGCTGCAGTTCAGCCCGTCGGCCAGACCCTCGGCGGGCCAGGTAGCGCGCAACGGCTGGCTGCGCACCGGGGACTCCGGCTAAACCCGGAATTCCCATATACCCGCCGCCCCTAGCACTGCGCAAGCGCGGCCTTCTGTATACCACACGCGAGAAGCGCGCTTCCAGAGTCCCGCGAAGCCGCCGCGCACCAATGCGCATGCGTCCTTTCCCCTTTCCTTCTTTCTCCACGGCGGGGGCCACAGTGGCCCCTGTTTGGAATCTAATTCCTCCTCCACGAACCGGAGAGCGCATGCGCGTCCTCGATTCCCCCGCAAGAAGGCCCCGGGAGGGGGCGAGACCAGAGGATGCTGAAGCAATGCGCCTGCGCGGACTGAGCGACTGCTCTGAGGTCGGAGGAGGCTGCCAGGTAGAGCTGCCCACTAGGGGACGCACGCTGAGTGCATCCGTTCCCAGCCTGCCTCGCAGGCCGCCGCGGGACGGCGCGCCCCGGGGCGCCACCCGCGTTGTAATTTGCAATAAACTCGCTCTACCTCGCACCTGGCTCTAGCAATGCCGCCCTTTTACAGAGCGGGGAGAGGGGGTCGCTCCCCGGAAGGCAGGCGCGGGCGCCCCTCTTTAGAGAAAGGTTAAGGCTCTTGCTCCAGTTCTCAAAAGGGAGTTGTGGGATTCGAACCCGTACATTTGGGGATCCCCCAGCCTGGGAAGAGTCGAAGGGACTTTGACTTTGAGGTCGTTCCCAGGGTCGTGATGGTCCTGGGAATAGAGATGTTGGGCTAGGGAGCAAAGACCCAGCACCCTTCTCATGTTTTAAAAAGGGAATGGTGTGGGTAGGTGGGGAGACCCTGTCTCGAAATCAACTGAGCATTTACAGATAAGGAAATTGATACCCACACAGATGTCACTGCCCATGAACACAGCTGGGATTTGAACCCAAATTTAGCTGAAGTAGGATAGGGAGGTGGTGGAAGCTCTCCTTAGTGAGGGCCCCTTCCTTAGTGAGGGTAAGAGTCTGGAGGGAAAGTCAAGGGTGGGGCCTAAGTCCACTGGACCAGCTGATTTGTTCAATTCTCTTAATTCATTTATTGAACTCCTTCTGTATACCAAGCTTTGGGACTCAAGAAGCTTAGATCCATCCCTGCCCTCGGTGAAGAGGCAAAAAGTCAAAAAAATTGCATGGAAATCTTTTAAAAATTGTAAATTGTGCTAAATGCTGGGGGCGGGGAGTCGGGTGGAGGATGCCTGAGGGATTGGAGGAGATATCTGAACTGAACCCTTATGGAATCAGACACTGGAAATAGTGGAAAGTGTTTCATGAGTTCCCAAAAAGGATGGAGCTGGTGTGTTTGAGTAATGCCAGGAAGCCCCTGTGGCTGGAATGGAGAGGAGGTGGAGAGGTAAAGGTGTATGTCTGGAGAGGGGACCCCATATGGCCTGGGGGAGTTTGAAGCTTATTTTGTTATGAAGTTACTGGTATGGGAAACATCTCCCTAAACCTTAATCCTGCCTGCTTCCATCTGAAGCCCATGACCAGTTTAAGGAGACTATGCCCCAAACCTGCTCATTCACTCTCCATGAACCTCAGGTGCCCTGGGGATTAAGTGCCAGCTCTCCTCTCACTGCCTTGAAATAGGCTGTGATCCCAACCCCTCGTTTTGCAGATGAGGAACCAGGCTAAGAGAGGGGAAGTGTCTTGCCTCCATCTGGCTTTTTCACATCTGAATTGAGACAGAAAAACCAACATTTTGGTTTACACTAGAAGGGTGCCTTTTCTTACCTGGACCATATCTCAGGCTCTGCACCTGGAAAATGGGGGCAGAAACACATCCTTGGGGTTGTTGGAAAGGGCTGTGGTTTACTGGAGGACTGCACCTCGATCCTTCTCAAAGCTCCCACTTCACTCAGAATAAAACCCACATCCTCACCCATCTTCCTCGCTGGCCAGCCATACTGCCTTTCTCATCCTCCACCTGCCAGGCTTGGTCACACCTCTGAGACTTTTACTGGCTGTTCCCACTCCCAGCAATACTTTCCCCCTTTTCATTAAAGACTTGGCCTACAAGTTCACCACCTTGTCATTCCATTCTTTTCCCTCTTTGCCAGTCATAGGTTCAATCCCATTGCCTGGGGTGTGGCACATGCCTTTGCCTGTTCCTCAGGGATGAATCTGCATGAGCAATGGGCCAAGGTATTCTTCCACCCCATGGCCATAGAGCCAGCTTAGTTTAGAAGGGACAAAATCTCAGGGAACCGGGTGGGTGTACCATTTGTTAGCTGGAGAAACAGATTCGCCCCTGGGTCCAATGAGGAGCCTGTGGCTAATCAGCAGACTCACTTGAGGGCTGAGTGCAGAGCCCCTAAGAAAGCACTTCACAAGTGCGTTTCCTGCAGCCGGTATTAGAGCGTGGGGCATCAGTGAGGATGTCACAGGTAGACTGTCTGGGTTTGGGTTTAATTTCTGTTACCAGTCATGCCTGCCCAGGTGAAACTGAGCTGGCTGTTGGGGAGGGCAATTAGCACCCACCACCAGAGGCAGGGATGCTTCAACAACAAAAACAAGAACCAGAAAGAGAGAGAAAAAAGGAAGCACCCAGGAAAACACGGGTAACAGATTACCCAAGTGATCACAGGTCTCAGATAGTATGAAAAACCTGAAACAGTGTCAACCTCTAAAACAAATTTTCACAAGCAATTGTTCATTTCAGGGCCTGGCTGGGTGGCTCCATCTGTACTTAAAACCTGCATCTGTAACATTGTGTCCTGCAGCAAAGACTAAGGGGAGCCAAGCCTGAAAAGCACTCTGGAAAAACCACTCAGGGTGGAAACTGGAAGGGTCTAAGAGCCAGCCCAAAGGGAAAAACCCACTGGAGTCTCAGCCACTCCCCCAGGCCACAAAGCTCCTGGTTTTGGTGGAGACAGAGGCTCAGAGGTGAGAGCACAGTGCCCAGTTGGGGAGGACTCCCCCCACATGGTTAGTGAAGTCCGAAGGAAGCCCAAGAAGCAGATTTCTTATCCTTTGCTTCCACCTTAACAAAGGGTCGGTCACTCTGCTGCCCTTACCCAGTTTCTAACCTGCCCCATACATGAACTAAACAAAGCAGGAAAACCAGAGCCGAGGGACAAAAGAAAAATATAGCCAACACATCATTTCTTTATTGTGCTTCAGATCTAAAACTTCCTTGTGACATCATGTATAGCCATTTATTCCAGCCTCTGTTTATGGAACTTCTATTCTTGTTTGGTGGTCAACTTTTTGGTTTTACATCATCATCAAAGATTTAGTCAAAATAAATAGAAGTGACCCACCTCCCCAAATCTACCTCCCTGCACTAGTGTAACTGTTTATTATACTTTGCTAAAGATTATAAAACTGTAGCTGTCATTTAAAAAATATCTATTTTTTCATTTATTTCAGAGAGGAAGGGAGAGGGAGAGATAGGAACATCAATAATGAGAATAATAGATAAGCTATTTCTTGCACACACCCCACTGGGGATCGAGCCTGCAACCCAATCATGTGCCCTTGACTA